ACTAGGGGTCTGTGCATAAAAATAATAAAACAACTCTTTGTGGCTCTGCCACCCAAAAAGATAAAGAAAGAAAAAAAAAAAAAGAAAAAGAAAAAGAAAAGAAAGTATTTCATTGTTGCTTTGCAAAGACAATGAATTCTTCATGCACAGGTTTTCCCCATGTCTCATTTATTTAATTCCTCGATTAATATGTTCCAATTTATTTATTTTAATTCCTTAATTAATTATGGCCCTGGCCACCCTTTCCCTCTTGTGTATTGCCCTCCTCAACACCCGAACTATGGTGTGTCTATCCCCTAACCATCCCTTCCCTTCCACCCCTGGTAACCAACAAAGAATTTTTCCTTTCTTTTAGTATGGGTATCTTTTCTTCAACTTCATATTTTTAATATTTCCATGTTCTTCTTGGATTTTCATTTTCTTGGCATTTTGTAAAGTATTAATTTTCTCTGAGGTTACCCTATATTATATTAACTTTTTCCTCCACTTAAAATAGTCTACTTTACACTGAATCTACCTGACCTCATCACCTGGATGTTCCTATGTACTCACATATGTTATTATATGCTTACTTTCTTCCACATTGTAATTGTTTTGATCATAGATTTACCTGGATTCATTTTGGGTTTTTTTTGTTTTGTTTTGTTTTAAGGGTGATAATTTTCCCGAGTGTTCAAACCCAGTAATTATATAATTTATTAATTTGATTGCTCTTTTTACAGTATTTAAATAGAGATTTAAGTACATTATTTTAACATTTAAAATTTAATCCTGCCTTTATTTTACATTACCATTTGAGTATTTGTAAATAATAGTAACTTATTAACAAATAGAAATAAATTCAGCAATCTTTGCAAACACAATAGTTTTCATTTCATTTTTTAAAAATGCCTATGATGATATAAAAATTAGGAAATGACATCTTCTTTTGATCAGGCATGTAATTATTTTACAGTATGTTTTGACTTCCCAGGTCACACCAGTGTAGAAGAGAGTTACACCCTAAAAAGCACAGCAGCCAGAGGCTGTAGTGCCTGTACCTAATACTTTTCAAACTGGCTTTGGAATAGTACCACATCACCACGTTCTGGATTCATTCTTATAGCTATGTTCTGTTCTGGAGTCTTCCATCTGTTGATTGAGTTCTGGGTGGTGTTGCCACATATGTCAATCTCAGGTTCTTTTCTGTTCTTATTATTTCTCAGTCCAAAGAACTCCCTTTAGGATAATTTGAAGAGCTGGGTTGGCTTTGAAAAAAATCCCTTAGTTTCTGTTTATTCTGGAAAGTTTTTATTATACCATTATCTTTGATTGACAGCTTTGCTGGCAAAATGATTCTTGG